AGAGGTATTCATTTTATAAGGCTACAATAAATTGATGACGAAACAATTTATTACGGAATTTTCAGCGGTACATTTACGATACTTTGTCAATGAATTCCTACATACAAATATACCTTAATTTCATTTAAATCAAATAATGACTTTTTAATTGACGATATCAAATGTTAAATTAGAGAAAAATTTATGATGCACCAAATCTTGTACGAAGAAATATGAATGATGTGAAACGTTAAAGTACAAAGATTTTGAAGTCGTTAAAATTAACCTAAACAATCTAAAAAGAGATTGATGCTTACACAAAACATCAAGAAATGGCCCGGATTTAAATGAACCGCGAAAATTATTTTTTTACATCACAGAAGTCATAACAATGCCTCCTGTCTTATTAAAAGCTATCACACACAACAATACGTGTAATAGAATTGTGATTGAAATAGTTGTCCAGCCAAACATCTTTATACCTTGCTTATGTTGAATTTTTATATCAGTTAATATGTATGAAATGAAAATATTGGGTAAAAAGAAGAAATATTACTCATACCGGTTCAAATATTAAGAAGAATATTGTTTATTGTAGTTTTAGAAATTATACGCCTTTTAATTATTCTCTTTTCGCTGCGCACAGATACAAGAACAAATTTGCAATGAATCTATTAGTTGTGAAAATGAGTTTACGAGGGCGAATTGGGAAGACCATTAATTCTGCAATGATAGGTCAGCTTTTGAATCAATTGGAAAGCGAGATCTACAAAGTTCTATTTTACAGAAAATAACAGTTTAACATTATCTTTGAAAAAATAAAGATCAAAAGAAACCAAATCATTGATCTTGGTACTCCCCGGAAAAAGGTGATAAAGCCATCAGCTTGAGGGGAGGCAATTTAATTTGGCTATGTTTTACCAAAATATGAGTAGAAAATAAGAACTATTTTAGGAGTCTAAAATATATGCCTCCAATTTAATGATGTAGGGCTATTCTCTGTGCCACTAAATGGGAATAATAGGATTCACAAATGTATGCAATGAAACACGATATGTTCATGCCACAAAAATATCCAAAAAGTGGACCTTGAGGTTAAGGTCAATGTTGTCCATCATCTTGATTATTTAATTTCGATCATTTTGAAATGTCATCTATTTACTCCATTCTTACCATGATAACGTCACCACATGCCAAACACCCTAAAACATGACAATAAAATAAAACTGTGTCCTGACATAAACCTGGAAAGGCTGCAGAAGATACCATGGCAAAATAATTGAAAACCGACAAAAAGAACAACAGTCTATAAAACACTACGTAGAAAACTAAAGACTGAACAACACAAACCCCACCAAAACGTGGGCGTGATCTCTGTTGTGTTCCGCAATGGTAAGCAGATCCTGCAAACTTCAATTCTTACATTTCATAGAATACTTATTCGTAAACAAAATTAGAAAATTATGAACAAGCATTTTTGACAAAGATGCAGATTTTTTTTTCTTTCTGTCCAACAATGATCAATGTAACAAATTCACATCTGATAGGACAAGTATGTTATTTACGACAGGGAAATGTTATTCTTTAAATGAAGTCGTTCAAAAATAGTATCACTAAATAGGATTTTAGATCTAGCAAACAAATATAATAATGGATATTCAATGTTTTCATTTGGAAAAGTTTATAATGTGGTACTATATGGTCTACAAATCGCGAAAAATATGTGAATATCAAAACAATTGATCTTAACGGAAGTATCATTCTAATGTGTGCACAGTTATTATGCATATCTGTATGTTCAATATCTCTGTATCCATGGAAATTACGAATTGTAAATCCCTAAAAAAAAACGAACCGAATTAATACTTTCTATTTAGTATTTTTTTCTGAAATTATGTACTTCTTGTCTAAACTCATTTAAGTATTTTCACTTACAACATTATATGATATGATATCCGCCTGTACAACATATGTTTGTTTAAAAAAAATCATCACCAAGTACGCTTCCAGTTGAAATGTATGCCGGAGCTTGTGTTTCTTGTCCGGATTTCTTTAACGGGTGTTTCCTGCTTACAAGGAAGCTATTGCAGCAAGAACAATCAGTTACGGACATTGTGATTTGGTTGGTCGTTATGAAACACCAAAGTCACAGTTTCTCACCGATTTGTTCCAATTACGACAGCCGCAATTCTGTCTTCTCTTCTGACACTGTATAAATATATTACCAAATGCAAATTATCAATGGATTTTTACGACATGGTCAACACGTCGCGTAGCATTTTTTTTTAGAAAAAGCTACATGCTTACCCTTTCAGGGAACTGCGCCGGTTGAACTATTGACGTCATACAACAATCACTTTTCCATTGTGGCGTCAGTTCTTTTCTATTGTGACGACAAAATTTTACGGGAACCTTTGTGATGTCCAGTAATGGCGAACAAATAGCGATAAGGTGTATTAACAACGTCGAGTATGATATGCGTGTGTCTTTGCAGGCCAAAGGTAACGATATGATATTATATACTGCAGCTGTCAAATTGCATTGACCGTATAATCATTCGTGATATAACAGTCACTGACCGTATATCGCCTTGTTTATGACGTGGACAATGCGTTTCCATAGAGTTTTATTTATGACGTCAATAAAAAGGTACAGGTTCGCGGAATTTTAACGTCGTTCAATCCAAATTAAAAAGCCTCACTATCTACCTGTTTCTAAGCCTTGTACAAATGAAATTTATATTTCGAGACGATGTATGGTTATTTTATATATATCCTCTGAGAGGAAGGGACAGGATCATAACCACTGTTTAGCGAAGATGGCGCAAGAATTGTTTCTGGAGAAATCTTTATGCCCAGACGTTGGAAAGCCACATATATGATAACGTCTCAGAGCATAAAATCTCAACGTCAAATATCAACTTCCCATTGATCTGGGATTTAAATTTTGCCAAATAATGTTTTCAACCGTTTAACATATGGATTGTTTTATTGGGAAAGAGTTTACCAAACGATAATTGCAAGTATTCAACTGCGATGCCTATTGCACCAACTACAAGTTTTTAAAGATGTTAGTATTAGAATAGTTTGTTTTTTTTTTTCATTTTAATTACCTTTGTTTTAGTCAATTTTCTAATTGACATTTTCTGCATATTAATTTGAATAACACTACAAAACTAAAATAAAGGCAAATCATGTTTTGATCAAATTTGATATCTGGTAAGTTTGCGTCATTTTTAGTTTGTTTTGTTTTATCTATAACTGTTACAAGGCAATTTTGTTCTTTTCTCATTGATGGCGAGCCGTGTTCCATCTTTAGTTTATAATGTATGACTTTTTCATTTTAAAAATTTAAAAACATTCATTGCTAAATGTATGATTCTTGACTGCATGTTCTTTCATTTTTAAATTATAAAACATTCGTTCCTAATTGATTCGATATAAGATTCAAATTAGAAAAACAAACTGTCATAACCGCTATACTTTTTTCTTCGTGTTTTATCATCTCGAAAACCAAATAACAGGATAATCAGCAATTTAAACCTTCGCCAATAAAAGCACGATTGAACAAAACTTAACAGAAAAATCTATTAATCAGCTTTGATAATCGGTTATAACCGTATTGGTTATTTGTAGAAAGGTTCAATATTTATTCTAAATTATCTGGGTGGGAGAACTTCATTATGCTTTTGTTATTGCAGTCCATTGAAATATAAGTCAACCTTGTATTTATTGTTTACATGTCCATTTTCAAAAATTGTTAGGTAAATATCTTGTTACATTTGAACTAGTTTATATGTGTTAATGTTCTGTATCAGTTATGAATAAATGTTTACTATCCATTGTATTCCATACAATTCCATTTTCAAAGTAAACAAAATTCGGTTTATTTAACAAATTTAGAAAGTAAATACTATAGATTATTATCAGTATACATGGAATCATCATTTATCACTACAAAAATATCCTTTTATTCTTATAAGTACACTTTATATACATCTATTTCGTATTCATGGTTTGTTACCATAACTAATAAAGAAACGAACAAGTCAGAGTTTTACGTCGTGGAAACCTATTATTAATTTTTTGGGAGCTGTATATTTCATCAATATGACTGGCTTAAAGTATTTTATCCTATTCTTACTGAAATATATATAAACTATAATAATGGACGTCTTCAGGAATTCAAGAAACTAAATTTGCCATTGTAGTTTGATAGTACTGCGTTTAATCATGTTTTTTACTGCGACACTCACTATTTGATGTTTAATTTACTAATATTTAGCGTACGACGGGTGATCCCATGCATTGCAGGAGTTGCGTTTCCAAATGTTTTTATTACTCGCATGTTTGTCTCTATGCATTCTGGAACACGTTTCAACTGATCTCAGTATATACTTTCTTACTAAAAATAGCAACTTTCTAATTAGCTCGTACGTAAGAACAAAACTACTGTTATACTTAAATTCAGAAAGCATTTTGTAATATTGTAATATTTAGTGATAACATTTCTGCATTTTTATCTTAAGTATTAATGATTTACAAGTATTTGATAAACGACTGTAGCATCGCTCTTTTTAGTCACACGTATGATTACATTTGTAAACTCGTTCAATATTTACACTTTACGATAATTTGTTCCATTTTTTTTTATTCAAACAATACTTTCTTTTTGTTTTGTTGCAAGCAACCATCTTTAGATTCCAGTAGATTGTACCCTAGCAGGAAAAAGCAACAATCGTTTTCAATTTATCAAATGATGTTAGATTACGAAGTAGCGTGTGTTTGAACAATCCCTTGTGGAAAACGCGAAAGAATGATTACGTTTAAAATTTTGATCTCTTTTTAATTTGTTTAGAACATCTGAAATATTTGACTCAAAAAGTAACGACTTATTTTTACACTTAGTTCTTTCATCTGATTGGATGCTTAACAAATAAAATTTTCCCCACGTGCAGTTTCTAATGAGTGCTTTCACTATATATTCATTTGGTAGGCATTTAAAATCATTGATAAGTTTAAATGATAAACTGTAGGAAGTAATGTTTTATTTCAGGTAAGACATTGAAGTACAATGAATAAGCTATGAAATTTACACAAGATTTATACAATAGTAAAATTTTATAAATCGGTGTGTGAATACTTGACATGGATTCTTTATATATATCAATATTCTTTAAATTAAATTCATTTTATTTTCCATTTTCTTTATTATCTAAGGCATTGTGGTACCAAACAATTGCATTTTATTCAGTGTTTGTTGTTGGTTGCTGTCTGTCATATCTGTTTTTCGTTTATTGTTTTGTCATATTTTGACATGTTGGGGCCTTTTATAGCTGACTGAATTTTGCTCATTGTTGAAGGCCGTATGGTGAATTATAATTTTTTGGATCCACTACATTTGGACTCTGGTGGATAGTTGTTTCATTGGCAGTCATATCACATTTCCTTATTTTATATAAAAGTTATTAGATAAGGGTAAAATAAAATTGAGAATGGAAATGGGGAATGTGTCAAAGAGACAACAACCCGATCATAGAGCAGACAACAGCCGAAGGCCACCAATGGGTCTTCAATGCATCGAGAAACTCCCGCACCCGGAGGCGTAAATGTTTTATGTTGCTAATTGAATCATTTTTTAATATTTGAAAGCGGTCTATTTATTTCAATAGATTGTTGCTCAAACGCAATCGCCATTTACTTTACAAACGTTCAAACCTATGATTGCGTTGGATAAAAACCGCAATTTTTAAACGTGTGCAAGCAAAACAAATTTCTTGGTAGAGGGGTCTAAATACAGCACAAACAACATTTTTCAAAAGACCAAAAAAGTGAAAAAGTATACTTTAACAAAACGCATTTGACTAATAGGTCGAACAACAAATGTTCTTAAACCCTGCTGACTGCCATTGGCGATTGCCAAATAAACGGATCACAGTTGTAACAAAATGGATCTTAATTATTAATTTAATACCAAACAGAAAACAATAAACTTGCGGAAAAGATGGTAAACCGCAAACAAAAGGTGCAAAAAATTTTGTACACCATATCCGAATATCGACAATTCATGTCTCTTCAGTGATGTTAGGAATCGAAACGGTATTTGGAAGGCCATATAATTTACCTCAATTTTGGATATTATATATATGTAGATGAGCATGAGTTCGAATCCCGGCCAGGGAAGAACAAAAAATTTGCTTCCGCAAATTTACAGATCTAACATTGTTGGGCTGTTGTTTAGACGAATTATATATACAGAATGTATTTTCAGCCTTGTATCACCATCACTGCTGGTGATCCGATGGATAAAATCTGTTGTAGAGTCGTCACTGGTTCAGACGTACTTATAATATAATTATTTCTGTGACTGCATCTTAAATTAATTTGTAGGATCCTTTACAATAGATAATTCAGCTGATCTGTAACAATTCCATCTTCATGCCTTATATATCATGTACTGTGTTACGACGCTAGATAAAAACTGACAAGGAAAGGTAACACCCGGCTACCGAAAGCTTAATTATAATAGAGCCTAGGTGGTCGAGTGGTCTAGCGCGTCGGGCATAGTACAAGGCGATTTGGTGTCACGATATCTCAGTAGCATGAGTTCGAATCCCCTCCAGGGAAGAACAAAAAATTTGCAATTTACAGATCTAACATTGTTGGGCTGTTGTTTAGACGAATTATATATACAGAATGTATTTTCAGCCTTGTGCTGGTGATACGATGGATAAAATCTGTTGTAGAGTCGTCACTGGTTCAGACGTACTTATTATGTATATATATATATATTTGCGAAACTACCCTTTTACAACGGGGGCAAGCGCCAGCGGGGTACTGACACCTAAAAATATTTTATTTTATTTGATTTTCATTTGATTTTTATTGTATAATTACCTACCATTTCAATATTATAAAGACACTTACGGATTTCTTAAGACGATTTATTTGATGTTATGAATTCATATATTAATGTGACGTGTCTATACGACAAAATAGGTAAATATATAAGTCAATTAATATGGACTATTTTGATGATTCGCTTTGTTATTTCATTACATACACAATTATACGGGAAATGTACATCGTATGGCAATAGTACTTAACTGGTGATTGATTGATTGCTTTTTCATGAAGTGCATGAAGGGTAACCAGAACGAATTGCTATTGGATCAGTTATTTAGATTCGTCGCAGTGAAACGAATACCTATTGGAAGGAAGTTTGATTCCCCCCCCCCCAAAAAAATACTTTGGAAAGGGGTCAAAATTTAATCTTGAAACAAGTCCCTTATGGATCACTCAACAATTAATTAAAAGGGTGCTTTATTGTCATGATCATGGCGCTCTTCTAACACATAAAAGAACAAGAGACCATCACACAAGTTACCATAAACACTCACACACATATGTTAACCGTATACAAACTGTTAACTCAAGTATTGGCATACAACCTCTCATATAGCAGCTTATTAGCTAGGTGGGTACCTCAACCATATATGTTTATAACTGCATTATGTCTCATTTTCGGTAAGTTGTGGCATAAATCTTACATATGCAGTCCATCAATTTAATTGCCTTTTTCAACCTTCATTTTACTCGTCATATTCCCCAACAAAACTCGTAATGATACCGTGTGAGTGTCTTAATGTTGTATTTGTTATGATTATTGATCACCTAAGCAAATGTTCCTCGAATACAATAAGCAGCAATTACCAATAGATTTTAAAGAGTACCGCTGAAATTGACACTGTCTTGACCGTGCTTTAAAGTTTGATCAGTTAAGTGAAGAACAGCAATTAAAGTGCAGTTCCGAAAATCGAACATTTGCTATTACTTATTGAAATGTTTGCTCCAGTACGTCTACTCCTTATCCTTACATTTCCCATCATCCGATCGAAAACAATTTTTTTAAAGTTTCATCAACTCTCTATTTTTTCATTTCATGTAAAGAAAAACATTCCAGCAGTCAATATTATGGACTATGAAATATGAACAGACAGCTAACATATCACTGTAGACCAATAAAAAAGCAATTCTACCTCCAAACATTATACACTGTAGATTCGAAAAAAAACACTTTTTTCTCGAACTAACGAACGAAAAACGACTAAACGATTTGTCAGTTGGTACATTTAAGTAGCACAATAATATTCGTTTAATTTTCTTTAATCATTGAGTACAAATAACTTACTACTGTGTATACCAACATGATTTTTACTGGTATTTTATTTCTAAGTACAGTATATCATGAATTTATCCAAAAATAACATATCTATCTATACATAGAAAGCAAGAAAATGAATTCTATTATACAAAAAAAAAAATTCATATCATAAGTATTATATATGTTGTATTATTTGTGTCTATTTATGTTCAACGTTTCTTAAATAAAATCCAGTGGGTCGGATTGCACATCGTATATAATTGATGTAATTGGCTTCTTTAAATACCGTACGACAAAAAGGTTTCTGATTAAAAATGATCTTCTAAATGACAAAAAGAAAATGAAAGCTACAGTTTGCTCGTTAGCGAAGAAGCATAGATACCAAGTGGAATTCGTTTAAATCTTTAAATAAATTTTAATTTTAATTTTTACTGAACGTGTACATCCAAATCTAACATTGGTTTAGTTAATTAATTGAGCACACTCGCAATCTTGTTCAAATTTAGATTTTTGAAAATTGATAATATTTTATTTATTCAAATTTCGAAGACAGGAAAACAAACAAAATGTTGCTTTCTGTAGAAAAATCCTTTCCTTCATCATTTCAATATTATAAACGTTGATCTTTTCTTCTGGTACTAACAGGCCTTCCTATATTTACAAATTGTTGCTCTGTAGAACGTTCTTGTCTCGCCTGTGATGAAATTTGTGAAGTCGAGACATCGCGATCATACATTCCATCGGCGTTGTTGACAACATAGATACAGGCTGTGCTTTAATTTTTTTTTTTAAATCAATCATTTGAAAAATACAAAAATAAGATAATTAAGAATGAAGCATATAATAGTATATTAGTATGTAGAAAAATATAAAATGATAAGCACTGTCATGCAAGTGAGAGGTTTAGCGCTATAAAACCAGGTTCAATCCACCATTTTCTACATTTGAAAATGCCTGTACCAAGTCAGGAATATGACAGTTGTTGTCCATTCGTTTGATGTGTTTTATCATTTGATTTTGCCATTTGATTAGGGACTTTTCGTTTTGCATTTTCCTCGGAGTTCAGTATTTTTGTGATTTTACTTTTTTCTTATCTTGACTGGTATTTAATTCTTATATAATGTCCGTTATAGTCGCATAGATGGGCCGCCAGTTTTTTCTATATACACTCTGCTATTCAAAATGATGTTTTTGTTTTGTTTCAGATTCTTTTACACTGCTTCAAATTCTATTTTGAAATGACCGTGTTGATACCCCAAACACGGAAGAATTCAACAGAGTGTGTCAATGGCCAATGTAGACAAAGTATGTTTGGACTACAAACCCCAATATCTAATTGTCGACGACGTAATGACCTAGATGATTTTGATGGTATAAGAAGTATTTTATCACACAGGTACTGGAAAAATTAATTCCAAATAACAATGAAATAAATTTTATAGGCACTTCATTTTAGATTTTGAATTTATTATTTGTATAATTAATTTTAGCAGTTCTTCGTAATACAGAAGATATGATCAATCAGGCGAACGAACTATACAATATCTAGTCTAGCTTCTATCTGAAATCAAATGATAAAAGGATGGAAAAACTAGTTTTATTTTAAAAGAGTGTATGTTTGTACATCTTATTACACTTTGCTTGCTATGGCTGTTCAATTCATTTCTGAACAATCGTTTCTATTCTATAAAGAATAGTTATAACATTCCATTATTCATTGAAATACTGATTACATTATCTTTTGTACACTTATATTAAATACTTTAGAAGCTGACCAGTAACTTTTTGTTTTCAAAATTGCAGCAGCGTTCAAGATCACTGGACTCAATATGTGCAGGCAGACGGTAGTTTGTTCTATGTTCTAGTCAAGGAATCGTGTAGCCGAGGAAAGCACAAAACGACCCGATGCTATTATCATTCAGACACAGAACATGACACAGAAATTACTTTTTGCCCTTCGGAAAAACTTTCTTCGGACGTTCAGGATGAAATGAACAATCATAAAGCAAGACTTGTTGAAGACAATAGTCGTTATGATCCTACAAGAACTCATACTTGTCATGGCTATGAAACGACAAATTCCATAAAATCTAGTCATGACCTATATACCGATGTGTTTTTAGACAAACGAGAACAACATATTCTATGTTCGAAAGGACGATGTTATTGTCGTCATACAAACGACATAGACTACAAACATGATATTAACAACAACAAAGCAACAAACGAACATTCATCAGACCATGATTGTGATAGTGGTATACATAGTGATTCTGACAGGTCATCTGTAGACAGTGCAACGTCAAATAATGAGAAAACTGCTACAAAACCTAGAAAACTACACTTTTCTCATATGATCAGTTTTAACAGATTGAGATCTAGATTTCGACTAGAAAAATAATAATGAGAAGCGAAACAATTTCAGCTTTTCCTGTTGATTAAGTATGAAAGCATTGTTATTTGCTATGATAATTTAACATTGTCATAAAATTTAAAAAGTATAACAAAGCTTGAATTATTAAATTTCGACCAGCTGTATTAGCTTATGTCAGGGAATGTCTATAGAGAACATAACCCGTCAAAAAATGATAAATACGGATATTTCATTAAGTATCAACTCATTTCAAGTATTTTCATATTTCTGAAATCTTTCAAGATTATTTCTTTTTGCCTTTTACTGCATAGCATTGTTTATATTTTGTTTTCTATATTTGGTTGATCATGGATAAATGTAATATTCACTGGTGTGGATAGAGTCTTATTTCCCGTTTTCATTCTCAATTTTATTATGTATATGATTGAAAATCGACTGTCGAAGAAACTGCCACAACCATACATATACAAAAGACATAGATAATTACCTAATATCGACAATAATCATTAAAAACTACCGATTGAGTAAGATTTTTCAAAGAATTTCCTGCATCCTCTTGTGTTAATTTTCTAACTGAATTGTTATCACCGTTTTATTCGAGCACCACTGATGAGTCCTATCTTGACGAAACGCGCATCTGGCGTAATGAATTAAAAGCCTGATTTTCTCTTTCTTCAAATATTCTGCTTTTCCAATTATTTTGACATTTCAGAACCTGATACTGCTCTAATGTGTCATGATACGGTTAAAAGGTTTATTTTTTAAATTATTATCAAAGAACATCAGGGTTGCGAAAGGGCATATTTGAATATTGTAGTTGTAAACTAAAAATAAATTACAATTTTGAGATTGTGAAACAAAAAAATATATAACAAACAGTTTACAGAAGAAAATGATTAAAAAACCAACAGCAGCTGTTTGTTAAGAGAAAATTGAGGCGAATGTAACCAATGCATTTGGTGTCTATCCATTTTACAGCAGAAAGTATTTACAAAACCAAGAGCAACCTTTTTCTAAGAGAAACATAAAATAAATGTATCCTATGAATTTGATCTCTATACATTATAGAAGAAAATATTTACAAAACCAAGATCAACCTTGTGTTGAAAGAAACGTAAGACAAATGTAACCAATGAATTCGATTTCTATAGAATTTATAAAATTAAGTATTTACAAAACCAAGAGCAACCTTTTGTTAAGAGAAATATAAGATAAATGTAACCAATGAATTTGATCTCTATACAATTTATAGAAGAAAGCATTTACAAAACCAAGAGCAACCTTATGCTAAAAGAAACGTAAGACAAATGTAACAAATGAATTTGGTCTATTCAATTTATAGAAGAAAGTATTTACAAAACCAAGAGCAACCTTTTGTTAAGAGAAACGTAAGACAAATGTAACCAATGATTGTGATCTCTATACAATTTATAGAAGAAAGTATTTACAAAACCAAGAGCAACCTTATGCTAAAAGAAACGTAAGACAAATGTAACCATTGAATTTGATCTCCATACAATTTATAGAAGAAAGTATTTACAAAACCAAGAGCAACCGTTTGCTAAGAGAAACATAAGATAAATGTATCCTATGGAGTTAATCTCAATACAATTTATAGAAGAAAGTATAAAGTATTTACAAAACCAAGAGCAACCTTATGCTAAGAGAAATATTAGACGAATGTAACCAATGAATTTGATCTCTATACAATTTATAGAAGAAAGTATAAGGTATTTACAAAACCATGAGCAACCTTATGCTAAGAGAAATATAAGACGAATGTAACCAACGAATTTGATCTCTATACAATTTATAGAAGAAAGTATAAAGTATTTACAAAACCAAGAGCAACCTTATGCTAAAAGAAACGTAAGACAAATGTAACAAATGAATTTGATCTATTCAATTTATAGAAGAAAGTATTTACAAAACCAAGAGCAACCTTTTGTTAAGAGAAACGTAAGACAAATGTAACCAATGATTGTGATCTCTATACAATTTATTGAAGAAAGTATTTACAAAACCAAGAGCAACCTTATGCTAAAAGAAATGTTAGACAAATGTAACCATTGAATTTGATCTCTATACAATTTATAGAAGAAAGTATTTACAAAACCAAGAGCAACCGTTTGCTAAGAGAAACATAAGATAAATGTATCCTATGGAGTTAATCTCAATACAATTTATAGAAGAAAGTATAAAGTATTTACAAAACCAAGAGCAACCTTATGCTAAGAGAAATATTAGACGAATGTAACCAATGAATTTGATCTCTATACAATTTATAGAAGAAAGTATAAGGTATTTACAAAACCATGAGCAACCTTATGCTAAGAGAAATATAAGACCAATGTAACCAATGAATTTGATCTCTATGCAATTTATAGAAGAAAGTATAAGGTATTTACAAAACCATGAGCAACCTTATGCTGAGAGAAATATAAGACGAATGTAACCAATGAATTTGATCTCCATACAATTTATAGAAGAAAGTATAAAGTATTTACAAAACCAAGAGCAATCTTATGCTAAGAGAAATATAAGACGAATGTAACCAATGCATTTTGTCTCCATACAATTTATAGAAGAAAGCATTTACAAAACCAAGAGCAACCTTTTGTTAAGAGAAAAGTAAGACAAATGTAACCAATGAATTTGATCTCTATACAATTTATAGAAGAAAGCATTTACAAAACCAAGAGCAACCTTTTGCTAAAGGAAACGTAAGACAAATGTAACCAATGAATTTTGTCTCTATACAATTTATAGAAGAAAGTATTTACAAAACCAAGAGCAACCTTATGCTAAAGGAAACGTAAGACGAGTGTAACCAATGAGTTATATCTGAATGCTACAAGAAACAACGCGCCATAATAACATTTCTTCAACCCAACCTTTAGCTATCGAAAATACACTGAACTGTATTGGGTGGTGACAAATATTTTAAAACTAGTTGCTCTTCGTGAAATTGGCATTTTGACATCCATTATGTTCACATATGTAATACGTTTAGGGTGTATCCTCTTTGTAAATTTGTAAATTTAGAACTAATTACTTAAAAAAAACAAAAAATGTCATATTACAAGACCTTCACTAGGACGCAAGGGTATGCATACTATTGATATACCATGATATAGTAATTTGTTTAGTATCAATTAATTACGTGTGTCGATTAAGGAGATAAGATGTGGATTAAACGATATTTGATAATAATCTTTCCCTTTCGGAAATGACTTGCATTTCATAATAGAAAGGGTTATACGGGCATTATACAAAAAAATTGATTCCAGTGTACACTCATATCATTTTTATTATCATCTTTTTGGATGTGCTTTATTTAGTAACATGAGATATTTATATACTAATAAGGTTTTCCAACAAAATTTTGATAAATAAACATAACAGTTTGAATCAAACTAATATGCTCTAGCTAACACCTATTCCCAGTAATTTAGCTATATTGGTAAATCTATAAGATTATCGGACATAATGGTAAAACAGTAATCGTTCGAATGAATTCATTCAAATTTGATTATCAATGAATTAAGTGATTTCAGAGGAGGAGGTCTTTGTACAAGTAAATGGTCGACGAACGTTAGAAGCAAAGTGTTATCAAAAGTTCATCTGGACCCCTGACCACGTTATCTTACCTGGGATTTCCTAAATGTCTGTCTTTACTTCAGTTCGAGATAAGGAATGATGCTGATGTGATGCTAACCTTGAGTAGGTCCTTTTTAACGAAATGCAAATGTAAATTGGGTATATCTTATTTTTTTTTTATTTTTTAAGTTTTTAGTTTCCAATGGTGAAAAACTAATTGTACTCATTCTTGTAAACGATGTTTTTTTTTGTTCTAACAATACGTGTTGTCAGTAGTGCTTTTTCTACTTCTATCTATTAAAAAAATAGAGTTTCTTTAGTCACATGTTATTTGGGAATTGCTTATAGTGACAAATAAACTGTTAATAGATACCAGGCTTATAATTTTGTACACAAGACGCGCGTTTTGTCTACAAAAGACTCATCAGTGACGTTCGAATCAAAAAATCTAAAAGGCCATATTAAGCTCGGAGTTACAAGCATTGAGGACCCAAACATTCCGAAAGGTTTTGCCAAAAAGAGCTAAGGTAATCTATTCCTGGGGTAGAAAATCCTTAATATTACCAACAATTCGAAGTTTTGTAAACTGTTGATTTATAAATATGACCATATCAATGATATGTCATGTCAACACAGAAGTGGTGACTTCTGAGCTGGTTATATCCTCGAAGAGGAGAAGTATTTCTACTTTGGTAGATTATATTTTGGTAGTTTTTATTATTGTTCTACCATGACGTTATATATTCAGTGCAACTGAATTAAACAAAAACACTCATAACTCCCCTTTCCCATGCATTTAACGGAACAATATATTCAAAGTTACGAAGGTTTTCCAATCAAACTTTTAAGCAAAAAAGAGAATTTAACCTAGACAATTTTGGCAGAAATGTCAATAGTAGGATTAAAATGTCTTCAATAATCAATGCCTTACTAAAGGAGATATTTATAGATAAGATTTTTATCTTTTTAATAACTCCGATCATTTATAATGGAGATCTTATTTTGAGAAGACTTGACAAAAGATCACAATATCATTGTATAATAGAGGTATTGTTTGATGTTGTCAAGCTAGTATCGAAATATTTAGTAAAATCGTTATGTTATGAGTTAAGTAGGTTCTTAACAAGAGATTTAAATTTCTATTGTGCGAAGTATTTTTATAAGGGCCTCTTGGTTTCAATTGTATTTTTTATTTTCGATTTTGGACTCTGACTTAAATTACATTGAATAAAGATTTACTTTCCAAGATAAATATTCCGAAGAAATTAGTAAAGTATCAAATATTTGTACAAAAACAGATATGAAATGATGATAAAAATAAATGCAACACATGTACTTTGTACGTGACTCAAAACGCAATACTTAAAAAAGTGAAGTTTTGACTTGAGTACACACGAAACATGTTCCTCCTGAAAGTTCTAGGTTAAAAAAAGGTTTAAGAAAATTCTAACTATTATCGGTATCAATTTCAAAGTCGACAAATACTGTACGTCTCTTCTGTTGGCAAATATCCTTATTATACTCATTTCAAAATGCAATGATTACTGGATTGGTGTTACATGTACCATCAGGCAACAGTCAGTCGATCAACAGTAGTACCTACCATTTAATAGTAATACAAGCGTTTGTTAACGATTTATCGCGGGGAAAACTTCTACGGGTCAGCTAGAAACAACGTTCAGAAATATAAAAATCGAAAAGAAAAAACATTAAAACCCGTCTTCGGACAACACATATTACCTGAACGAGTTACAATCTTAGTAAAAAAAAATACATCATTATTCATA